TATATATATATATATATATATATATATATATATATATATATATATATATATACCACTACAGTCAAAACTGTAAACTGTGATGATATATTATTTGTATAATAAAATTTCATAAAGAAGCGCTAGTGTTTAACCATTTAAAGATTTTTAATAAAAAATAAAATATATAACAACGGTTTAACAAAACAACTGTAGTAATATCCCTTTTATTTTTTTTATTTAAATATAAATAAAAAAGAAAGTGTGTCTTAATGTTAAAGGAATAAACAATTATAGGGCGATGGGGTTCGAACCCATGAAAGTTTGATGGAATCGCCACAGTGTTGTCATCAACCATTATTATACCCTTATAATTTAAAAAAAAAAAAGTTAGTGTATGAGTTTAGAGATGTCACCACGGTGTTTAAACAAACCGTGGTGACTTTGGCGTTGTTGTATGCGCGTTTTGTAATAGTTAACTTGTATAACTTTCTAGTCTTCTTATCTCTCCCTTATCTCTTTTACATGAGTAATTTTCTTTCCTTTGAATTTCTGCTTCCTATTTACTCATTTATTTTACAAAATATTTTTAAACTCTATTTTTTCAAACGATTTTATTTTCAACCAAAGTTTTTCAAACTTCCACGATTCATACTCGTTCTTATGTATAGAGTCAGATGTCTAACATATATATTTTATCAACTTAGTCACTTTAGACATAAAGGAATAAGACTAAGAGGGTAATTAAAACACTTAATTGAAATGCATTGATGTTACTATGTGACTTAGGAATAAATTTTGTAGTGAATAAATCCATATTTTTACATTATAGGCACCATCCAACAGATTATGTCATGGTCTCATATGTCATTAGAAATATGTCACAACATATTATTCTACTATGTTAAAATCTTTACTTTCAAGTTGTGATTTATTTTTTATGATCACGTGACAATAATCAATTATTTTATTGTTTTTTCTCATGCTCATTTTATAGTTTCTTGTATGGGTGTTCAAAATTGAACCAGACTAATAGAAAACCGTTAAATCAAACTAAATCAAACTGAAATCGCAAAAAACCGCATTAGGTTTGGATGTGTTTGAGTCATTTTTTAATAAAATCGAACGATTTGGTTTTGTAACACCCGTTATTTAATTAATTATTTTCGAATTATTTGTTGGAGTTGTGAGATGTGAGGAATTATTGGTATAAGTTGCTAGATTATTATTAGTTAATTAAGTAGTTGATTAATAATAATAATGTTGGAATTAATAGAATATTCGCGTTGGGTCTATTTTATTGGTTGGAAGTAGTATAATGGGGGTGAGAAAGTTAAGTCCAATGGGATTAATGGTATAAGGTTAAGCTGACACAAGGATTTGGTTATTTGGTAAAATAAGAAGTCTTGTGCATGACCGTGTGAAGTTGCACGGAAGAGAGGAGCAAAGTTGCACAGTTGTCGAGCAGAGCAAGGCGAGACTGTCGGCTGGAAATTTTGGTAGAGCGACCTTCAATCCAGGTAAGGACAGGGTTCCGACCTTATAATGGGATTGATGATGATTGCTATGGGGGAATTGGTCGTATTTATGACTCTTGTACGTTGATATTCTGGATCTGTTATTGAAGTTTCCCGTTTCTTCATGATGTGGCCATTTAGGGAGTTACCGAATGATTGTCTTGTATGATTAATGAACCAGTTATAGGAAGTTACCCGTCTGTTATGTTGTGGGCGTTTTGAGTTGTCTGTATAACTTCCTGGTAGAATCGATGAATAGGTTAGTGTAGATTATTACCTATTGATGTAGTCGTTAGGTTGCGTTGCTGTGTTATTCCGAGCAGTTGGTCGGAAATTATGGATTATGTTGTAGTGGTCGTTATGACGTTGTATTGTTCCATGTTGTTGGCCGAAATTAGTAGTCGAGGAGAATATTAATGGTGTTAGGTACCGAGCGGCATGTAGGCTGCGAGGTGTGTCAGAGAATAGATGTGTTGGATGCCGAATGACATTAGGCTACGGGGCATGCTGAGGAGCACGGTACTGTTGTTGAGCCGCACAAAGTTGCAGGCTGTGTCGAGGAGCACAAGTTAGTTGTTATTTTTCTTAGTTCCTGTGCATGTCGAGGGACACGTAGCTCTTCCCTAACCCTATCGCTCGTGCATGTTAATTTGATTGATACGAGTGATGTATAAGTTGTTCTGAGTTGAGAAATTTCAGGTTGATGAATTATGTTGAGGTGTCTCTAACTGTTGGCAGATATTATATTGTAGGCTTACGGTCAAAGTTGAATTATGTTGAGTCGATACTGAATTGTTGTTGAGATTATAGGCTTATGGCCAACGTTGATTTATGTTGAGTTGTTGTTTGTTGTTGTTGTTGCTACATTCATGTTGTGTCGCATACATATCATATCAAGTTGGAGCTGATGCTCGTTAAGTTGTTCTGGATTAGCAAAATATTAAGTTGAAGGCTTATGCTTTGTTGATGCCTCTACTTATTGACAGATTATTAAGTTGAGAGTTTTGTTCCATTTGTACCACATGCATGTGCATAAAAACAAGTCGCATTTCATGTTGCATCATGAGTTGTGGTGTGGATGAATTAATTAAGTTAAATGTTGTTAAAAAGCTGTGAAGTGGTGATTTGTATGAACTGATTCTAATATATTAATTTATCATACGTTCTATTATATTGTCCGATATCTCACCCCTTCTGTTTGAATGTTACCCATATGTTGGTAACGTGCAGATAATCCAGAGTGAAAGCGGTTTACCTTCAGTAGTTCGATTTGATGCCATTGCTCTGATACGTAACACTCGGGGGGATGAACGCTTGTTCCTTTCTTGTTGTTATTACTTCAGTTGTTGAATTTTAAGTTGATTTTCGTTAAGCACTTGTTATTTGGAGTTGTTTCAGTTGGATAAAGATGTTACATTCTTTTAAGTCGAATTTTATGATTCCGCTGCATAGTTATGAAAGTTGTTGGTTTTAAAAGATTAATTTATGTTGCTATTGGTTCATCCTAGTTTAAAGTGTTATGTATTTGTGTTAAATACCGTTATTTTAAGTTGAAATTGTAGCATCCTAATTTGGTTGTCGAAATTTTATAACTCTGATTTTTATAATAATTGTCGGGTAGAATTGGGGTGTTACATGTTTGGTTTACGATTTATATTTTACAAACCGAATCAAACCGCATTATGTTGCAAATCAAACATCACATAACCCACATCCAACCCAAATCCAAACTTATTATTCTTTTTCCTTAGGATTACAAATATTTTTTTTCTTACACTTAAGATTTCAACTTAATCTTTTCAAATCTCTCCAAACGGTATCGTGCCTTCTTCTCTTTTTTTTTATACATCTCGCATCTTCTTCTCTAGTCTCTCATCTCTTATGTTCTTTCTTTTTCATCTTCTTATTTTTATTCTAATGTTATCTCTTACAATTATGTTTTTAATGAACCTCTTCTTCTCTAATCTCTTCTCTCTTTTGCTCTTTCTTTTTCATCTTCTCTAATCTTTTATCTCTTTTTTTTCTTTCTATTTCATTATAATATTTTTGATATTGTTTTATGGTACTATTTTATATTTTTTATTTCATTTTTCTCTAATCGATTTTTGTATATCAAATGGAAAATTATTGTCTAAATATTATGAGTTTTGTTGTTTATTTGACAACACATAAATGATCAAATACAAAGTTATGTTGTCATATATATATATATATATATATATATATATATATATATATATATATATATATATATATATATATATATATATATATATATATATATATATTAATTTTTTTTAAAAGACTGAACGAATCCAAATTTTATTTCTTTGGTTTAGTTTAGTTTAGTTTCATTTTTAAAAGTCAATCGAATCAAATCGAAATATACATTTTTTTCTCTTACAGTTCGAATAATTTTTTACATTAAAACCACTCAAACCGCACTGCGAACACCTTTAATTTCTTATATAAAAATCATTAAAATTAATACAATTATAGTGAAATTGATAATTCTACTTAAATATTTGCTACTAATTTAACTGTATATACCTGCACTTACAAAATAGTAACACATGTTTATTGAGATTTTATTTATTTTTGTTATTTTTAAATTTTAACAATTTTTAAGCGTCTCCATTTTTAAACTTGATAACGCTTTTTTCTTCAAGAAATTATGTTTTGATTAATTTAAAATTGCACCTATTAACGAATCTTATCGTAATCAATCACAAATACCTTAATTATAAATATATTAACAAAATATGAATACAAATAAATTAACTTAAATCAATATTTAATTAATTTAATAATGTGACGTTGAATTTTATAGAAGATCACGATTAACATTATTTTTCAAGGAAATTGTCATTTTATTATTAAAAAATTTAATATTTGTATTAATTTAAAAAAAACAAAAATTGTGGTCTTTCTTATTTAATTTTTAATAATAAAATCTAAAATATTATACGAAAACCACACATACTAAGTCTACACACAGCTATTTACCTCACCATTTGAAAGACACTAAGTATACACTTATCAAACACATTTTGTATTACTTTATTTAGCTTTCTGTCGGCTCCTACCAATTGGCTAAGTCTCTTCCTTTTTCACCGACTAACTAATTATCAGCTCGAACCAGCTGCCAACCGTCAAGATTGTTCTCTCCACACACGCCGGCAACGCTCCTCCCTTCACACCTCCACTCTCTAATTCATATTGATTAATTTCTCAAACCGCCTAATTATTTTATTTTATTTTATTTTTTCTAACTATTATTTAACTATTTCGTGCAACGATTCTCTACTCCTTCATTAAACACCGACTGACTTTTCTCTAGCACTATGGCGGCTTAAACCCAATTTGAACCTTTCAATACTTTCCTTTTATATATATACAAGAACAATTCTAATGAACTTGGCGATTCATATTCTTATGCAAAACAAAAATCAAGGTAACATAAACATAAACATAATCTAAACTTATAGCATATGTATCATATTTTACATGTGTATGTTCAAGGTGGCGAATCCAAGAGATAAAGTTATTAAAAGGGAACTCAATGATCCCACATTGTCAAGTGAAATGGTATTTCCTTTTCCTGGTATGAATAGAGATAGAGAAATGTCTGCTATGATCTCTGCTTTGACTCATATTGTTTCTGGAGATGTTCCAAACCAAAGCACTGAAGTTGAACCAAATATCAATATGTCTTCTTCTCCAAATTCTTCAACTAGTTATGGTACTAGTTCTTCTCTCAAAAGAACTAGGGAAGATGATCAGTTGATCCAGACACCAGACGCAACACTGATACCAACAAGTAAGTACCATATATTTAATTCTTTTATATTTCTTGCAATAATTTGATAGAACACCGACCTGATTCAGATACAGATACCAGACATAACACTGATTCTGTTATGCCTTCTAGCTTATTGTTTTTGTGCCTGTTGTGATGAACACAGATGCAGAAAGTTCGAGAAATAGGACAACAACAACCAGAGTAACAAGAGAGATGGGAAATGCTGTGTATGAATATAGAAGAACAGAAGGTGTGGTAAGAGAAGGAGAAGAGAAAAGAAAGTACAGAGGAGTGAGACAGAGACCGTGGGGAAAATGGGCTGCTGAGATAAGAGATCCTTTCAAAGCAGCAAGAGTGTGGTTAGGAACATTTGAAACAGCTGAAGCAGCTGCTAGAGCATACGATGAAGCTGCTCTTCGTTTTAGAGGAAACAAAGCAAAACTTAATTTCCCTGAGAATGTTACTCTTCGTCATCCTCCTCCAACAACGTCGAATCAGTGGAATATTTCGAATATGCCGAGTTCAGTTGTTTCTATTACAACTTCTACTGACCCTGTTGTTCATACTCTACCTTTTTCTTATTCACAACCTTCAGCAAATTTTTATGATCCTTTTCAGTTTTCTGACATTCCTGCTAGGAATGTTTATGATGATAATGTGATTTTGAGTTCTACCATGGCTTCTCATCTTCAATCTTCCTCGTCATCGTTGTCACCAGCTTCTTCTCTGTCATCTTCTTCTTCTGCATTTGCTTCTTCTATGCAGACCAATGCTTCAGCTTCCGCGTTTTATTCTTCACAGTTTCCACCATGGTCTGCCTCCGATCATAACTCTTCTTCCTCTAGATGAACCATTTTCTATCAATCACTAGGGAGATTATAGAGACACATGACAGACATCAGACACAGACACATGACAGACATCAGACACATACGATATAAATATCAAACATAGATACAGACGATACAAACACTAAAGACACAAATACAAAGACATACATCAGACACATACGATATGAATGTCAAACATAGACACAGACGATACAAACACTAGAGACACAAATACAAAGATAGACACAAGACACAACAAAAACAGATATCGGACACATACGATATGAACATCAAACACAGACACAGACGATACGAACACTACACAGACGATACAAACACTAGAGACACAAATACAAAGATAGACACAAGACACAACAAAAACAGATATCGGACACATACGATATGAACATCAAACACAGACACAGACGATACGAACACTAGAGACACAAATACAAAGACAGATACAAGACACACCAAAAACAGACACAAAAGATAATGATAATACTTTATTAGTTTATTATATTTTTCTCTGTACAGTTTATTATTAATCCATTCATAATTCATGACATCTTTTATGGTGATAATATTTAAGGAATTACAAATTATTATTTTTTCGTAAAGGGGATTGGATTCCATACTAATTGGAGTAATTAGAGTTAGTTAGTAAAAGTAAACTAGTATCTATAATCTATACTAATCTATACATGTATATGTATATTTCTTAGTGTTCTCTTTTTTTGTAATATTAAAAGTGGCATGATAGTGACATGAGACATGTAACATGACAAGATAATCATACATTTGACCATTTGTATCCTTGTAACAACGTCTTCATCTTTTATTCTTCTCTTACAATATTTTTATATCCTTAGTCTTTATCACATCACATCTTATAATTAAAATTCAAACTAGTTCGGTGCATTTATTATCTTAGAAATTAACTTCTTCAAACCTCTAGATGAAACATTGTCTAAATGTCGCCGCAAAATACTCGTACGCCAAACATCTATTTTAAGGTTTAAAAACATGAATTTGACTTTAAGACAGTAATACATAGGTTGACATAGTGAATTATTCAAAGGAAGCTAACAATACAAAGTAAACAAAGAACGAATAACTGAAAGTTGCACATGGGTTCAATTCAACATAGTTGTTGTTTTCGATGTAGAAACGTAATAACTAGGGAACAAATATTCTCTTTAAAGCTTCGTTTTGGGATGTTCACGTCTTTCTCAAAGAGAAAGGTAGAAAGTTGCACCGCACACTTAAGCTATAATTGTTCACACTAAAATAGCTCAAGTGCGTGTGAGATACCGAAAAGAAATAGTGTTGTGCAAGCAAAACATAAGAAGTTTCAAGTTTAAGTTACTAACAAAGGACCATTGAATCAATCGCTTAATAAAATTTAGTTTGAAGAAGTGACAGTTGCATTTACGAATGGTTGCATAGTCTTATTTTGACCATTTAAATTGTTTTCTATGAAAATTTTACATTTTTTTCTCTGGTCAAGATGAAATATTAACATTAAAGATATGTTCCATTGATTCTTGCAAAATAAAAAAGAAGTATTCCATTTGAACTATCTTTAGCTCCTGTGTGCCATACTTGTCACGCAAGTTGATTTTCCATTAAAAATACAATATTTTTATAATGTAATGGGAGGCCGTACAAAAATACTATAAAACTTATAGAAATATGATAAAGAATAAAATATTGACATAATGAAGTTTGAATAGATGACATGAGGCATTATAATGCAAACTCCCCTCAAAACTAATCAATTAAACAAGCACCTATCGTCCAAAATGATATATATACAGGAGTGTTGTACTCTAAATTTGTCCTCTCATGTTTTTTAAGGTCCTCCCTCTATATAGTTGATCATAAATCTTTGCTTAAAGAAAATAAAGTTTTTTAAGATGTTTTAATTGATATTCTAAAAGACCCTTTGATTGGTATTCTGAATGAGCCTTTCGATTGGCATGGAGAATTTCCTTCGATTGGTATTGTGGCCAAGTCTTTTGATTGACATTCTAAAAAATGCTTCGATTGGCATTGTGGTCAAGCCCTTCGATTGCCATGGATACAAGGCCTTTCGATTAGCCTCATGGCCAAGCCCTTCGATTGGCATGGATGCAAGGCCTTTCGATTGATCTCATGACAAGCCATTTCGATTGGCACAGTGTCAAGGCCTTCGATTGGCATTCTGAAAGACTCTTTCGTTTGGTACCCTAGACCAGGCCTTTCGATTGGCATTGCAAGGAATCCTTCGATTTAGCATCTCAAACAAGGCAGCTTCGACAGACATGTTAACCAAGTACCCTTCGATTGACCTTTTGGCAAGGCCCTTCGATTGGCGTTTCAACAAATACCCTTCGAGTGGTATTTAGGCAAAGGATTTTTGAATGACAGGAGGACGTTCGAAGGAGTCAAATGTCCAGCTTCATCCAAGATTTCGAACGGGACATGAATATTTCAAAAAAAGAAATATTTTAATATGTCTGATTCTCGTCTCATAGCTTTAAAAGCCTAGTTAAATGGCTATCTCTTGTCGTTATTATGCACCATCACACTCCTATAAATACAAGGCCAATGACACAGTGCCAAGGGGGACAAAAAGATTAGAGATATGCTATTCACAAACCCGTCAAAAGTTGTCAAAATTTTCATAAGTAATCCAAGCCAATGCAACCCTTCAACAAAAGTATCCACGCTCAGAAGTCCCAGATCGAAGGTACCCACATCCAGAAAGTGTCAAATCGAAGGTTTCAACTACTGATAAGAGAGGGTAAAATGTCAAACTTTTTATTTATATAACACATCCATATTTGATGTTTCATTCGATTTGTCATTTTAGACAGAATCAAAGGGCTTGAGTTTGGCACCCAGGTCATGTTTTTCGTTTGCTAACATTTGTTACAGATATAGCCTGAAAAGACCCAGCGCGCGCAGGATCGAAGGACCTGAGTTTCGATACCCAGGTCCTGTGTTTTATTTTGATAACATATTTTTGCAGATGCAGTGCCTCCACAGGTGATCCTTCAGGCCTTTCCAGCAACACCCTTCATAGAATCGAAAGGCAGCCTTTTTTCTCTAAATCGAAGCCCCCCCTTTCTCCTTGCAATCGAAGTTTACCCATATCCTTCCCAAACCCAATCAAAGGAGGCAGGAAAGGGTCCAAATCGAAGCTTGCCCAGTCAATTCTCAAGCTTAATCGAAGGCTACTCACACACATTCTCTAGCTCAATCGAAAGAAGGCCAAAGAAGGATGAATTGAAGGAGTCCATGGCATGGATCGAAGAAGTCTTTTCTCTTCTTTATTTTTACTTTTTACTTGTCTTTCGATTTGGTTGTAATAGCGTAGGACCTCTATTTTCTGCATTTTTTTACTGCTTTTCATAGTAACTGTTAGTAACTAGACGTGTATGAAAAGACTAATAATCAAACGTTAGCAAATTTAATAAAAAGACAAAAACAAAATTGAATATAACACACTTGCACATATACACCTCTAAGGTATCTCCCACTTTGGTTGCCTTCAATAAAACAGTCATGAGGCAGGAACACTTTAACAAAGAACCGTAAAATCAAAAGATCATAGTCCCTCGATGACCCTACGGTTTCCTTTCGATAAATGATCTCGTCCCTTAAACGAAATTGCTAAAGCGGCTCCATATCTTTCCTTTATGACTGTAAAACGTCCCTTCGATTGTCCCTCAAAGCATCCAACGACAAGGCTACCTACTCACTAATAGTAGGATATCCCTGTCTAAAAGAAAAGAGGAAAAGAACGATCTTTTTTAGTATAAAAATAGATAGCTGTTAGAAGTTTGCTCAAACTATTTTTGCACTTACACACAAATCCTACTTTTTCAAAAGATATTTTCAACCACTTTGTATATTTTCTCCACTATCCCGAGAAATATTACAAAGTTCTCCGTACTAAGGCGTCTTCAAAACATTTTCAAACACTTTGTATATTTTCTCTACTATCCCGAGAAACATTATAAAGTTCGCCATACTAAGGTGTCTTAAAAACATTTTCAAACACAAAGCATAAAAGCATCTTGAAAAATGAGCAAATCTCTAAGAGCCCGTGGAAAACCATGAATGGAAAGGGTGCTAACACCTTCCCTTTCTATAATCTACCCCCCTTACTCAGAAAACTCTCGAAAAGGTATTTTTCTGTTCTTTTCACCCTTTCCTTTGTTGGATAAAAGAAAAGTCGATGGTGTCTCTTGCTTACCGCAACATTTGCGAACACAAACGTAAAAACCAGTATTAATAGTCGGTTCTGCCACCGTATCACAGAACCGACGACTCTGTTGGGGATGAAAATAAAAAGTGGGGTTACCTTTGAGTTCGTTCATTATTTAACTACTTTTTTGTGCTTTGTTTGCTTTACCCTTGGAAGGCTATTTGGGTTGTTTCTATAGATCCTACACCCGGATATGGGGCACACTTTTAGGTAAGCAACAATAGATCGTCGAGAATGTACGACGTAGACCGATATGGTTGAAGCGATGGCTGTGTTGGTGTGACACTTTGGTTGGTACCAGTATCCCTTGTGTTGAATCAAGGAGAATATGGGGCCGCCGTATGGTGTCGTGAAGCACTAACGAACCTTAAAATATTAGTTGAACAAACTTGGCCATTAGAAACTAGTGAGATAGCCGGCCTCGGTGTAAAGCTGGGGATTGTTTGATACTCGATGCTACACTCATTGAGATTGGACTTTCGAGATGTTTCAGCCGCAAGAAAAGTAGGAGTTTTCTTTTCACACAAATTAAAACCCTTAATCATAACCTAGGGCAGGGTAGTTTTCTCAGTTAATTCAGATGTGCATTCAATCGCAAACTTTCCCCTTCATGCACGAAAAATAGTGTAGAAGATGCTCTCCAAAAGATGGTGATGGGTCCACATAATCGTCAAGGCAGGAAGTCATTGTATTTCAAAAGAAAAACCCACTAAGTCAAAACTTATGAAGGAGACTTAAGAAAAAAACTGGGGCATCCCGCT